AAAGTTTAAGTTCTTTTTGTCTTCAGAAAAATGCTTCAAGTAATATTTAACAAAAAAATGTTCAAAACTGTTTCTTTTTGATAAAGAGCTGCACATTTTAAAAATATAATGTTACAACCCTTCAAGTTTTATTTTCCACCTTCGGAACTACAAAATAACGGTAAAATGGTAATTTGCCACCATCCTGCTGGATTAGTGATGCTGTACGAGCTTCTATGAAATGCTAACACACTTTTCTGGAATCTGAAAATAATGATTATATTTTGTGTTTGATTCATGTAGAAATTTGCTTTAATGTCTTTATGATTTTTTAAGACAATCTGATTTCAGTTTTGGATAAATTTTTGACCTTAAAACGTTTGAGGATCATTTAAAGATTAACAGAAGAAAACTTTTAAGCTACAAGTAAATATTCTAATGTATTTTCTAAAGCAGAACTAAAGGTTTTGTGTTCTCAGCCCCCCGGGACTCACCCCTGTCTGCGGCTCTGTCTGCTCCGGTCCTCCTTGTCTCCAATCCTGCCCCGAGACGGGGACCGTGTCCTGGCTCCTCTGGGACTGCTGGAGCTCCTCAGGGTTCCTGTATGTTTATATCCCTGAAACAGAGATCAAGCAGCTGATAAAATAAAGTGACTACGTGTGATTTTAAACTTCTGCAGCTTCATGAAGTGGTTTGTTCTGAACGTTGATTAAAGTTGGAGTCATTTTGGAGGTTTTTTTGTTTTTCTCTTCCGTTAAAACTTCCCGAAACGTTCCTGAACGGAGCTGCGTGAAGTTTCCCACACGGATACCATATTTTTTGGCCTTTAATTCGTAGTTTTTTGCATAATTTACATGCCGTGCGATTTATTTATGGATTTTTTTTCCCCATATCTATAAAACAATTTTGGCTGAGATATGACGTTTTCATTCATTCTGACTGAAAATATTGAAGACTACCATTTTCAGCCGCTGGATGGCACTCGAGAGATATGGCATGCCATTGTGTCATGTAATAGGTACTGCGCCGCCTCGGTGAAATGCAGCTGATTTGACCAATGAAGTGCATTTATTAAATAAAAGTTCAACGGAGACACACCTTTACTATAAAGTTGAGCAAACAAATAATTGTTTTAGGTGCTTATCTTGTTAAATTTCAAAGAAATGTGCAGCGTTCCTCCTTCCTGATTTCTTCCCTCAGAGCACGCTCCCGGAGCACCGAGGCAGCGATTACTTTTGAAATGCAGCTGATTTGACCGTTAAAGTCCTTTTATTAAGCAAAAGTTAGACTGAGACACACCTTTGCTATAATTTGGAGCACACAACTGTTTTTAAGTGTTTATCTTGTTAAATTCTTGTTAAAGTCCTCCAGCGCACACTTCCGCGGCCGTCATTTGGCAGCCAGTCGATTTTTGGCACAACACCGGCCCACGTTTCCAGGTTGTCAGCGGTGACGCATAATTGATGCGACGCATGCGGCGAAGCAACATGTTTATGGATTTTTTCCACTTTTTAGACATATTCGGACTGATGTGACCTATAGGGCGGAAAATACGGTACCTGCACAGAAACGATGTTGGTGGTTGGAGCGTTGGGCGCAGCCATCCAGTCCGGCAGGTTCATGCTGCTGTCACTGTTGGCCCGGAGGAAAGGGTGAGGATGGGGGACTGCCAAGGACCGGGTGCTCTCCCTCCTCTGGGGGGCGTACTTTGGAGACTCCACGAATGAAACTCATTGGGAGGAGAAGAGGATTTCCCACAGTTTGATTCATCTTAAATGCTGCTGCAAATCTTTTAAATCTAACAAACATCCATATCATAGGAGTAATTATTAGGATGTACAGCACTTACCCACATCTGTGTCTCTGTGGTTTTTGATAATTTCTCCCAGTTCAAAATGGCCGGACATAACTGCAACCTAAATACAAAAACAATCAAGAAAAAACATCTAAAAAAGTTTATTTATGTTCAGAAAAGATGCTGCTCACAGAAAAGGCTAAATTTTTAAACACAGTTCAAACATGATTTTTATGGTTTACTTTATTAAAAACAGATTCTATTTATAAGAAGGAACAATTGAAACATTTTTAGAGTTCTGCAATAATCTATTATTTGTTGTGAAATTCAAACTGGACCAAAGAGCTAGCCCATTTAACAAAAAGTAGAGGAGAAACATTGGTTAAAGAAAATAATGCTAAAGAACAAGAAGACGTAGGCTTCACCTCAACACAGAAAATCATTCTCTGACAGTTGGGATTCACAAAAACACTCAAACACTTTAATTTTATGTTTAATATTTATTCTTCTTCCAGCTTTCCCTCTTCAGGGGTCTCCACAGTGAGTCATCCTCCTCCATCTCTGTCCTCTGCATCCTCTGTCCTCACTCCAACTACCTCCATGTCCTCTCTAACTGCATCCATACATATCCTCTGTCTTTTTCCTGGAAGCTGCATTTCTAACATCCTTCTACTAATATACCCACTGTCCCTCCTCTGGACATGTCCAAACCACCGTCCCTCCTCTGGACATG